GGTGTAGTGAAGTAAATTGGCAACATATGTCTGGTCCACTGAAGGGGGTAGGACCAGATAGCAGACTAGTCACAGCAATACAAAGGGAAATTATAGCAGAACTAAATTATTTAGAGGTTAAAGAAGGACGTGAAGGAGAGTTAATTAGAGGAACTCGAAGCTGCATTCAATTGGTTCAGAATCAGTTGAAGACTTGATTGAAAACTATGCATTCTGTAGAGACCCTAAAGATAAGAATTCCATCCTATCTTTTGACCTTACTCCCAGCTGAAAATTGGAGATTTTCTTGCCCAACTCAATTTATATCTTAAAAATCATCTGATGGGTCTCAGAACTTCAAGTGATGATGGTGTACTAGACTCATTTGTCATATTTTGAGGGTTGGAAACATTATCTATAATTAATTTAGTCATGAAGACTTTGTTAGATCACCGTAAGGTCCTGGGGTCAAAACTCTTTTTCACCACTTAACCTTTACAAAAGGAATTGTAAAGGAATGATGTAGTAAGATCTATAAAAGATTAGAAAAAAAACATGCAAGATCTCTCAACGACAATAAGAGGATTCTGATAGTAGCTTACCATGTCCCTCTCATGAAGTCCTGCAATAGCACTGTCTCTAGGAGTAAAGATATGATGTTTATCTTGTGTTGTCTCAAACAGATTTTGACCGTTAAGAGGCTGCCGTTTTGCATGTTTCATGCTGTCTTTTTTTTTTACATTTGATTGACAACAGTAGAACATTTCTTGGAGTTCCTCTGATGTCCATGCCCGAGTAGATTGATGACAACAGAAGATGCCAACCAATACATGGGATTGAACCCTTGATCTTCTGAACTGCATCCTTATGCTGTAAAGAGAGTTGGTGGCGACCTTTGTACTTCTTTTTACTTCACAATTTATGTTATTTATTGAAGTAGGTCATGTTTATGGTGCTAAAAGAGTTGTTAAAAGAGTTGGGACTTTCAAGATAATATGAAGCAGATGCGGCAGAATCATTTAGATTCCATGTGGTTGTATGATTTCTGCCACTCGGAACTGATATATATGTTGGACAAGGATGTTTGGTTGTATATAATTTACATTATTGAACCTCGTGGCTCAAAGTAGATTTGGACATGCTTGAACTCTGCCCCATTTGCATGTTTTTAGAGCAGTGGATGGAAAACAAAGGATTTCTCAGCATCATTTGACCCTGTGGATTCTTTAAAAGATCTATGGACTTGCATTTGAGAGCAAATCAAGTTATTTATTCAATCTGAAAAGAATATATCTCTCATTAGTCATATTTCTTGTGTCTGGTGAGACTCTTGTCAGCGAAGAACCTTTTGCGACCCTGTCGGGTTCATCGACTCTCCTGTAACCATCGATCATGTTTCTTATATCAGGTTGACGTTATTTGGACAACTGACATCGATATATGGTCAGGCTGTATCACAAGAAATGTGGAAGAACCTCTCCAGATTGAATGCTATATCACTAACATGTCAATCCACCTGATGGTTTTGCAGGGAGAAATGATGAGCACATACTCACAAATGAAATCACATGATGTTTATTAGGGTGTAATGATACGCCCCGCTTGTCTTGCCATTTAGTACATATAATGTGTCTGTGATCAACAGTCAATTACCACAATGCTACAACTGACTCCTTTCGGAGGAAAAATAAGACACCAAACAACTGCACATGATTGTGTACCATCCGGAGTCAACAGCTCCCCAAGTGCTTCCACATGATAGTAGTAGCCACCGGAGCTGTCAAAAACTGCGGAGGGGCTAAAAACTTGATCTTCGTTGGTCTTCCTGAGTTCATAACCTTGGTAATATGACAGTAAGAAAGGCTCATGAGGAACCTTTACTTTTCCATGTCTTTCGCTTGCTTCTTTTCGTAAACACAACCTCCGGGCTCGATAGAAGCTGCTGAAGGAGGCAGTCGCTCATTATTGGTTTTGGATCATTCTCCGAACCTGGCTGTAATTTTATCTGCAGGCAACTTTGTTGATTCAGATCACTAAACACAGAAAACACCACCAGAAAACACCATCTTGCAGTTGATTGCCACGTTCAGATTATGCAGAAATTACTGTTAACAACATCCTCCAGGGATTATTTCTTTACTAAACATACCAAGGAAGAAGAAACACTGTACTATTTTCAATAGAAAGACACAGCAAGAGGAAATAGAAAACACATCTTACACTGATCAAAATCTATAAGTAGTTTCCTATTGTTTTTATCTGCAAGGCCCTACATAAATTGTTTCTAGCTCATTTGCTTGTGGAGGCACTACATACATTGACCTTCCCAGAGTCCAAATTAGGGGGAGCCGTTTGCACTGGATCACCCTTCTTTGCCTATCTGCCTTCAAAGCCTATGACCAATTTATCATTATCGATATCTACTAAAATAAGAAAGGACCATTCACCTCTCAAACAATAAAAGAAGAAACAGGTTATAATAGTGAGAAAAGTTGCCCATTGGAACTGAACCTATTCTCAATTGAGATTTCAACCCTAATTGGGGAAAAATAATTTTAGAATTGTGTGATTGCTGGATATGCATCTGCTAGTGGACACTTATCAAATTCTATGGATGTGAACAATAAATATAATAGCACGATCCACTTTGATTATTTGTATTGTAAGGATGTGCTTTTTATTTGTCTTCCTTGATAAGACGCAAAAGAGTTCAGACCCAATTATTGAGTCCATATGTATGAGCACTAAAAGAAATTATTAATAATTTGTTTTATGTTTGTGTAAAATCATTTCTTATGCAGTCCACAAGAAAAATGGATTTAGCATAAAATAGTTGAGAGTAGTTTGCGGCATCAACATTTATCAAAATGTTAATAAAGGTTATAAACGCAAATTTATGAAAAATT